CAAAGAACTTAAATCTAGTAGATATGATTATGCCACATAGATTAATTTTGGTTAGTTTTCTAATGATTATTGGTTTTTGGTTATCGAGCAAATTAACCTTTGATAAATTTTACGGAAAAAACAAAAAAAAGGTTTAAAGAATTTTGCAGGCTGTGGGGTTCGAACCCACGCGTACTTATGTACAGAAGAACTTAAGTCTCCCCCCTTAACCTCTCGGGCAAACCTGCTTTCTTGTCTTTTATCATTCATAAAAACAATAATAACGTTTCAAAAACCATCAAGAAGCAAGTTTTATTACTTTGCAATGTGAATTATACTCAACATATGGTTATTTCTTGGAACGTCTCAAGTAAACAAGTAAACCTATGCTGGTAAGTACAACAGCACCAGCCACCACGCCAGTCTGCCACCAAAACCAACCGCCGTCAACCACGCCGCAGCTTCCCTCAGACGAATCTGCAACCGTGTCAAGACCCATTGTCTCGGTAAAATCCAGATACAGTCTCAAAACCTTTTGTCCCAAAGACCTAGCAAAAGTAACAGCAGCAACAAGATCACTGTCCCTACTTATCAAAACTTTGTCACCTTCATCATCTTGGTACATTATCTGAAGCCCTGAATCCACATCGCATCTTTCCTTCACAACGCTCATAACCTCTTCAAGACTCTCTCCCGTTGAGTTAAACCGGTGTACTCGCCCTTTACGATCTTCGAATTTGAAAGCAAATGAGCTTATCACAAGTTCTTGAGATGGACAAGACTGGATCCCTTTATCTGCTCCTTCTGAATTTACAAGCATTGTCGACATGTCGCTGTGTGTTTCGTAATCCTCGGGTGGGTCTAACGCTAAAGCTGAATCCCAGAACTTTTGCATCATCGTATTTGCCACATCGTTAACAGCTCCTGAGCTGTTCTCAACCGTTGAAATAGCGGCGTGAGTGATCTGCAGCACATCTACACACGCTGCAGCTAATCCGTCTTTATCTAAAACCGGAAGATGCAGAAACTTCCCATCGTGCATTATATGCAATGCATCGAGGATCGTTGTCTCCATCGATGCGCATTCAGGGTTTGGTGTCATTACTTTTTCAACAAGAGTCAGCTCAGGGGATAGATTCTGCGCCACGACTCTCATGAGAATGTCCTTTGAAGTTAGAATCCCATGAATCTTGTTCCCAACAGCGATGATCACAGAGTTAACCCGCAAATCCCTCATTCTTTTTGAAGCTACGTAGACAGGATCAGACGGTGACACGAGCGCAACCTTTGAATTCTCTGTTATTATAGTTGACAATGCGGGCTTGAACATCCGCTCCCTCAATGTTTCGATGAAAGGATATGGAGCAGAGTTTCCGCTTCCCCATTGCCGTTCCACGCCTTCCACAGCAGCGGCTAAAGCACTTCCTTGCTCTGCGGTTTTCTCCATCCGAGAAATAGCATCATAGAGGCATTTTGTGATATCCAACAGAGCAATGACTTCGCCGTTCTCTACAACCGGCAAGTGTCTAAATTTGCCTTGAACCATCTTCTCAAGAGCTTCGATGGCAAGTGAATCCGATGTGACGAAAATAGGATTCCTTGTCATGACTTTAGAGACCAAAGTGTGCTCTGGTCTTAACCCTTCTGCTATCACCCTTGTGGCTATATCCTTATCGGTAACAATCCCGGAAAGTAGAGCGCTTGAATCAGTCAACAAAACCGCATCAACACGCCTAGAAGCCATCCTTCGGCAAGCGTCAAAGACAGTGGTTCCCTCGGGGATAGTGAGAGCTTTGGATAAACGTAGCTTCTTGACTGTTCTCTCGCCATTAGAAACCGGTTGAGCACGAGGTGAATTGGGTTTAGAGGTGTTCTCATTCAAGCTTCCGCTACCGTTACCGGTTTCCTCGGAATGGAGAACCGGTTTCTTGGAACCGGATAATCCTCGCCTTATGCTTCTCCTTCCAGATGAAGTTTGAGTAGTCATGTTTAGGAGTCTCAAAACGCCTTGTTTAATCACTCATCAATCTACAAAACCAGAGAAGCCAAGCCAAAACAATAATTAAACTTACGAATACTTGTTAAACAAACACACAAGAAGAGAAAATGTGTCTAACCACCTAAAGACATGCAAACCAAAACAACAATAATTCGATTACAATATAGAATCCGAAATCTCTTTACATCAAAACCAAGAAATTTCATTTCCAGAGATTTTGGACATTCAGACAGATTCATGAGACTCATTCCGAAAATGACAATTCAAGAAAATGCAATGATAATTCAAGAATGAATCAAGAAAATGCAATGGTAATTCAAC